GGTACGGTTAGGAAGGAGGACGGAGAGAGGACGGGGGGGGGGGTGAGAGTGGAGATGGAGGGAGGAGGGAGGAGGGAGGAGAGAGGAGAGAGGACCTCTCGGGTGTGTCCATTCATCGCAGCATAGAAGATTGGCGTCCTGCCGTCAGAGCTGCGAGCATTGATGAGTTCGTTTCCTCCCAAGTTGAGAAGGTCTTCGGTGATTTTCCTGCATGGAGGTGAGGGAGGGACACAGGGAAGGCACTAAACAGCAGCACCTCCTCCCGTTGGCGCAGCTGAAGTGGAAGGCGATGGTTCCTTGCCTGCTCTTCCTCCACAGCAGCTCTGTCCCTCCGATCTCGCACAGCAGCTTCACACACTCACGGACGCCCGACAGGCACGCCAGGTGGAGAGGGGAAAAACCGTAAATGTCTTCCGTGAGCAGGCTTGCCCCTCCCTCCCTGCAGATGTACTCGAGGTTCTCCTCGCAGCCATAGCGGGCCGCAAGGTGCATGCAGTTGCGCGACTGGTTGTCAGGGTCCTCCAGCCTCAGCTCGGGCAGCTCCCTCAGCAGCTGCAGCACAGACTTCTGCGACGACTTGCGAGAAAACTTCGACGCCCAGTGTAGGCACGTCCGTCCTGTCCCGTCCTTGGAGCGAAACAGTCGATGCCCTCCCTGCTCGACGAGAAACCTCACAACCTCCAGGTGCCCCTGCTGGGCAGCTAGGTGGAGGCAGGTCCAGCCCTTGGCGTTCCTCTGCAGGAGGATCTTAGTGCCTGCCACGTTGACGATCTCCTGCAGCACGTCCAGGTGCCCCTGTTCGGCTGCTACGAAGACGCTCGAGTTGCCCTCCATCGCCCTCGTCTGCACCCGCGCGCCATACTCGATCAGCAGCTTCACGCACTCGACGTGTCCGGAGCGGCAGGCGAGGAAGAGGGGAGGCTCGCTCCTGTCGTTCATCTTGGCCACGTCTGCCTTCCTCTCGAGAAGGATCCGCACGCAGTCCAGGTGGCCGTTGAGGGATGCTGTGGCGAGGGCAGTGAAGCCCTTGCGGTTCTGCGCGTGGATGGAGCAGCTGGCGTCGAGGAGAAGGATAGTCTGATCCACGTTGCCCTGAGCTACAGCAGTGATGAGAGCCGTATCCCCGTCGAAGCCGCGCTTCGTGTCAATCTTCTCCTCGCTCTCCACCAGCCCTTCCCAGATGACAATCTTGAGCGCGGCCTGCTTCCTCTCCTCTTCCGTCTCCGCTTCCCTGTAGCACTGGAGGAGGAAGGAGCTCTTGAGACGGTGGACCTGAATCATGGAAAGCGCGTCTATGTTGTAGTCCGCCACCTCAGTGTTCTCCTCCCAGTAGGAGAAGAGCTCGAGCGAGAGGGACCGCAAGTTCGAGCTCTCCTCAAGCGCATGCTTGTAGTGCATGTCCTTGTTGTACCATCGGACGTCTTGCGACTCGTACAGCTCCACAAACCTGTTGCACTCCTCCAGGATCCGCTCCACCACCCTGCGTCCCTCCCCCCTCACCGTCCCTGCGTCTCCCTTCGGCAGCATCGCAACCCGCTGGAACAGATCTCGCTCGATCTCCTGCATGGTGTTGTTGAGGGCGTTCATGTGCAGGGCCTTCCTCCTCCCCTCCAGCTCCTCCTTGTTCATGCTCTTCAGGTTCACGTTCAGCCGCATCGAGAACACGAGCACGTTCCTCTCTCCGAAGACCTCGGCCTTGGGGGACCCGATCACCTCCAGGTTGGAGAGGGGAGGGAGCAGGACTTCGTTCTCCTCCGGGTACTGGCTCAGCCAATGCAATGACGCTCCCCGATCCACCTGCCCCATGCTGATCTCGAAGATGATGGGGAGGAGGCTGTCCCTGCTGCCTGTGTACTGCAGCGCCACGTCAAAGTTGACCGTCGTCGACCTGCCATGGATTCAGTCTCGAACTCCTCCTACACCTGCTCCTCTTCTTCCTCCTCCTGTACCTCTTACATCCTTCGTGGTGCCTACATCTCCTCTTCCTCCTACAACCTTTCCCTCCCTTCCTCCTCCTCTTCCCGCCTCACATGAAAGCAAGTTCGACGCCTCCTCGACATCCCGACGCATCGTCGACGAAGAAGCATTCAGGGAGCCTCATCCCCGAGAGGCCTCGGTAGACCTTCCTGCCGGGCGGCAGAGGAGACGCGCTGGCCAGTTTCAGGATGCCGCTGTTGATCATGTGGATGGTTGTCACATAGGAGAACTGGCCCTTCTGCTTCTTCCTGTGCAGCGCTCCTCGCAGCACCTCGTTGTACAGCATGTACATCGGCCCCTGCTCCATGCTCGTCATGTTCACATCGCACTCGACCTCCACCTCATCACCGTGTACAGCCTCAGCGCAATCAGCTCCTCCTCCGTCAGCCCTGACGCAGCAACGAGCGGAGACTGCATGAGCTCCGACAGGAGGCATCGCTTCCTTCCCCCCGGATCTTCCTCGCTCTCCTCCCCGGGGTACTTCCTTGCCTCGGATGGGCTCACCACGAACTCCCACTCCTCAGCTGGGCAGGTCCTCAGTTGGTAGTTCCCCGTGATGAACGTCTCCAGCGAGCTGTGCTCAAGCTCCATCGCCTCCTTCACGTTGATGGCAGGGAGGCCGATCGTTCCGTCCAGACCCCTCCTGAACCATCGCAGAGAGCCGAACCCTGCGTTCCGCAGGTGGCTGGAGGACATGGAGAACTTGTCCTTGAACGAACTTTGCGGAGCCATGCTCCTGGTCTTGTTCGAGCTCAACTTCTCGTTGAGCTTCTGCTCCAGCTGCACCGCGACTTCCTTCTTAACGTCGTCCAAAAGGTTCTGGATCAGGGAACGGTTGCTCAGGGTTCGCTCGATGGCCCCGGAGAGGGAGGCGCGCCGCTTCCCCTGCTTCGTCTGCGAGATGAACTTCCTTGCGAACAGCTTCGCCCAGTCGAGGTTGTTGGCCAGGTCCTCAATGACCTGCAGGTCGATGCGGCGGAAGATGATCTGACGGATGTCGTCGATGTCGATAGAGTTGTCCTGGTTCGCATCCAGAGCGTGGAAAACCTTATCGATGTCCACGTTCTCCACGGGGATGTGCAGCTGGATAAAGATCTCTCGCAGCTCGTCCTTGCTCACCCTCCCGTTTTTGTCCAGGTCGAGCTTCGAGAAGATCTCGTTCAGGTCGCATCCCTCGATCGACAGCTGCTGCCAACTGCTCATTAGCGCCTCTAGCGGGTCCTCCCGCTGCGGTTCCGCACTGTCCTCAGCCTCAGGCATGCTGGCGGAGGGCAAGGTCACAGACAGGCAAACATGCAACAAGACGATTCTTACGGGGCTGCCGGCTCCGCAGGACTCTCGTCCTTGTTCGCCCTGGAAGGGAAGGAGGAGGGGACTGGGACCTCGTTGGGCTGTAGTGAAGACATGACGTCTTGGTAGAGGCTCTGGCACCACTCGCCCCACTCCTTGTCACTAGCATGCGGGGATCGTTTCGAAGCTCGGATGGACGAGTGTTTCCCGTCCTTCCTCCACTCCAAGTGCATCCTGATATACGACATGTCTTCTTCCTTCGAAGAACGCTGTGATGTGGGTGGAAGCTCAATGCCGCAGATTTCCGCCATTTTCTTACAGATATAGAGGCAAGGATCGGCCGGGCGATTCATTGCTAGCTGCAAAGAAAGATCCTCGAACAGTATTCGGATGTTATGCTGGACAAAGTAGGACTCTACGTCCGCTCCCATTCTCGTCTTACCATGCAGTGGGGGTAGACGACTGCGGCTCATGGTTGCAAAAGTACACAGGGCAGGCAAGAAGGTCAGAAGATGTGCTTGTCACTTGCTTTCGTGTCCGTTCTCATGCAGACATGCTCTTCCTCTCTCGCTTCTCGTTCCTCGCTGCTCGAACTTCATATTGGGCAGTCGCGATCCGTTGGAATACAGCACCCAGGCCTATCAATTGCAAATTTTAAGAGTTGACAATACATTTGTACCAAAATCTTGAGAAATTTTATAGTTTATTGCACTCATTCGTTTGATCCCCTTATGTTTTTGTTTGGTCTTGGCAAACTTTTATTGTTCGAGGACCAATATGACCTGGACATAATAGTTGGCCAACACAAAGTTAAAAAAATTGAATTGATCTTTTTTAAATTGAATATAAGATGAATAATTTAAATACATTTGCTAAAATTGAAGTGAATATTCAGGTGGGGTGGGGTAATTAGTACTCTGTTAATCTCTGTTACATGTTTGGTCACAAAGGACTTTTTTTTTGTGGTCCGGGCAGATTGTCGCCGGAGGTTACTTCAAGTTTGAGACGGTACGGTGACTCAGCTGGAGACGGTCCAGAGCCTCCGAGGCTGCCGGGCGGCCCGGCTCACTACTTAGTGACAAGGACTTAGTGACTAGAAGGGCAGGTAGTTCGCTCATAATCGGAGGCTGGCAACCGTGCCGTGACGCGGCGCTGCCAGTGCCCAGCTCCGACTGGGATCCAAGCGAAGGAGGCCGCTAGTGAGTCAAAAAACCTTCGATATGATTCAGAGAAGATCGAACTACAGAACTCAATAGGGGACCGAATGGAAGCGCTCGATGTGAGGCTAGTGAATGAGATTCAAGTTTATTGCCGGGCCCGGGTCCGGGGGGGACTTGGACACTCGGAATGACTACGAACAACCGTCGGAGCCTCGCCGAATCATCGCGGCACGAGAGTCTCAGAGTCACGCGGCCTGCAGGAATTGAGGCACGTCGCTCCACTTGATATGAAACAAGGACGGGAAGGACGTTTGTGCCACCGAGGAGCCTGCTTCTCTCAGCTCCATCGCCAGCTTGTGACAGCTCATGTCCTGGACGCTCCCTCGGGAGCAGAAGACGAAGAAAGAGTGGCGAACAAGTGGGAAGGAGAACATGTTGATCAGCTCTCGCAACAGCTGCCTGCTCGCAGGCCCAGGGAGCAGCACAAGGGAGTCTTGAGCAGACCGCAAGTGTCCAACATCTACATCCCCTGCCTCCGAGATCACCAGGCACAGTCTTCGCTTCAAAGGTCGATCCTCCACCACGTGCACGACCCTGCCCTCACACTCGACCCGTCCGTTCGCCACCATGTTGCCTCCGAGCACCGACCGGCACGAGCTGGATCTTGCCACGAGGACTCGCAGGGTCTCCCCCTCTCCCTGTCCCTCCGGCTCCTTCCAGCTCCTCATGACGGCCGTCTGAGCATGCGAAAAGTTCATCGGGTGGAGCCAGAAGACCTTGGAGGCGTCGGATGCTGGGGGAAGCTGCACGCCATAGATGGAAGAGAGGTAGTGGTTGCTGAGCAAGGAGGGGTAATAGGAGAGCACGAGCTCCCTGCTTGTCCTCCGCCAGACCTTGCCGAACTGAAGGCAGGGGGGCAGCCACTCCCCGTCGAGCCCAGGTGAGCTGGAGCCGAGGAAGGCAGGGTCCCGCAGGAGGTAGGCCTCTAAGGCATCGGAGGCGATCAACATGGTCATGGTGTGACTGAGGTCCGAGGATGGGAAGGGCGAGGACAGAGCAAGAAGCTTCCGCGCACCTGCCGGAGTCAGCAGGAAGTCTCGAGCACACGCTGGTCGCCTTCCCCTTATGATGATGGACCTGCCCTCGTGCTCTGAGCTACAGTCCTCTTCACAGTACGCGAGGAGGAGGACGTCTGCTGACTGAGGCAGCTCGTTGATCGCTGCCTGCAGGGACGAGGAGATAGAGGAGGGGTCTGCAGCAGGAGACGTCGTATCAGAGAGGACAATGAGGCCTTCAAGGCCTTGCATGCGAGAAGCTTCCAGGATGGCGAGCAAGAGAGTCTGTGAGCTCGCCCCTCCAGCTGTACATCAACGGCTGCGCCTGCTCTGCCTCCATCGCTGCACCTCTTGTCCTCTCTGGAACCATCTCGCTCAGCATGTGTGTATGTGTACAGGTGGCAGAAGCCGATGCTGCGAAGCCAATCCTGCCGATGCCTATGGTAAGACGAGCAGTTGTCGACCAAGAGAAACGCAGCCAGGCCAAGGCAAGTCTGACTGACTTCCCCCATGAAGTCCCAACGGAGGAGCCGGCGTGACTGTACAAGAGCACGGCGATGAAACTCAACGATCCTGTCGTATGAGTGCGGATCAAGTTGGAGAGAAACAGTTCTGCTCATCCTTTCCAAAGCTCGCTGGTTGAGCACCGAGAGCAGAGGGACGAGATGATCGTCTTGTTCCTCTGTTATAAAACAGACCCACTTCTTGACGTGTCGGTTGTCAAATGCGATGTGCACAGCAAACTCTATGCTGAAACAACCCCGTCTAGCAAAGTGGAGGGAAACTGAGAATTCCTTGTCGACTTCCTCTGATGAGTTCAACACGTTGCGCAGAGGAGCAGAGAAGACTAGAGTGTCGTTGACTGAGAGCTTTGCTACCCCACGACTCGCATCATCTGACGGGGAGAGTTTGAATCTACACCGACATGTCGTCGTTTGACTCTCCATCCAGATATCCACTTGGATTTCTCGCTCCTCCCCCGCCCTCCCCCGGCTGCCTGGCCCGCTGCTGCGGACGGGGATATGGGTGAAGGGATGAACGGACGGAGAGATTGAGTCAAGAGGAGCATGGGGAGGAAAGAACCGCTCGGCTGTGTTGACGTAGGGGAAAGGCTTCTGAGGGCCCCACGTCCTCCTCTCGCACCTGTCCTCAGCCTCATCATGGTTCCACACAGTGATGGGCAACCGCATGCTCCTGCCATAGGACGAGTACCCGAAGGAGGACGTGTCCGACAGGATCGCGTCATCCGCTTCCCCCATCACATGCCAGTCAGCAAACGATCCCAGCAGCCTCGAAAAGATCTCCTCCTCGCTCTCTGCCGAGCATTCATGGTCCAGTCCGACGTGTATCACCTCCTCCTCACTCAAGAGCAGCTTGAGGCCCGCCAGCTCCTGCTGAGCCCTCGGGTGGATCTTCTTGTCGTCTGTGATGATCATCAGGCAGGCATCCTTCGACGCGTTTGCAATCTTGCGAGCACAACGGTAGATCTGACGTTCGCCCTCCTCCTTCAGAATCTCATACCCTGACGTGCAGGCTGTGCCCACACGGATCTGAAGGACTATCAGCGAGCCGCAAGCCTTCCTCTGCCCCCAGAGAGCCTCCAGCTTCTGTTCGAGGGCAGGGGAGGGAGAAAACAAGGAGGAGACTGTCCGACCGATGAAGAAGTAAAATCTTGGCTCAGGCACGAGGGAGAGGACCTGAGAGCTCTGAAACCAGTTTATGTTGTCGAGGAAGACGCAGAGCGGGCACAGCTGTGTAGTCTTGTGCACCACAAGATCGGCATCAATGTCCGCGAGCATCTCGCAGTCGTCATCGCTCGAGATCTGAGCCACTGTCTCGATGTCCTGCAAGAAGCCCTGCAGCTGAAGCTCCTTCATGTCCCACTCGAACATGCGGGGCATCAGGAAATGTCGTAGCCGGCGCGGGTTCTCCCACCACACGAGGAAGGCTCTGTTGGTTGCGAGCGCAGCAAGCAACGTGGAGGTCAGTGTGATCATCTGGTTGCCCAGTCCTCGTCGTTCAGTGGCGTTGAAGACGAGGTAACGCTGGGAGCACAGCCCTCTTACCACGCTGCTGTGGAACTGAGAGTACTGCTCCATCCATGCCTCCCACGTCGCTGGGATGACTTGGGAGGAAAACTCGCACTCGGGCATGAGGACGAGGTCTTGTTCAGAGACGGCGCGAGACGGTCCATCGGCGCTGGAGGACAGACTCCAGGTAAGACTCGCCTCGTGTCTCCCGTGAGGAGGCAGGGAGAAAGAAACGATGTGATGGTTGGGCGATGGTGTCCATGGGACCTCGAGCGTGTCCAGCAGTGTGCTATTGATGCGAATCGCAACCCAGCATCGAGATGCTTGGTGCCCCTGCAGATCTGACAGAGTGGTGCTGAAGGAGAAAGAAAGGTGAGCCGTCCAGGAAGGAGGGTTGTTCAATCTTTGATACTTCAAGTCTCGCAAGGATACAGCCAGCTCAGGTCGCGCGGGGATTGCCAAGAGAAAGAGCAACAAGTGCAACAGCGCTTGTTGCCCTTTCATCTGAACTTGCAGCTCTGAACGACTCGTAGCGTTTGCTCGAGACTGATTAAGGATCCTCTTCTTCCAACATCCCTCTCTTCCTCCCTCCTCCTCCCTCTCCTGCTACCTCTCCTCCCTCCTCCCTCCTCCCTCCTCCTCTCCTCCCTCCTCCCTCCTCCCTCTTCTCCTCCCTCGCTCCCTCCACTATGTCCTCAGTCTTGTCTTCGTTACATGGATCCATCGCCTTGCCCCACAGTATCCCATGCAATCTACCACCCTCTGACCCCACCCCCTTCGTATTCATGAAAAGTACCCCCTTCACGGCCAATCCCCCTCCTCTGCATGGTCGCATTCTCCCAGCCGCCAACCAAGGACCGAACACACCAAACCCCACCAGCACCCTCTTGAAACTCCTCCCTGCTCCTCCACACCCACCTCTTCCCTCGCTCCTCGCTCCTCGCTCCA